AAGTGCCAAGGGGGGCGAGATTAGGCCTTCGGCTTGTTCTCCACCAAGTGCTGAAGCGGACAAGCGACAACAGTTGGTGAAGAACGAGCTGGCGCCGCGCTGAACCCAACCCCCTTAACACGGCACCTGCAACGAATAGAACAGCTTTTGGGGAAGCTATAAGTCAGTCAGCACGACAGAGCTGAATGAATCCATACTCTCGAGGAGTAAGCTGATTCGCCCTCGAATGCCAAAATCTGTTTCGCTACAGAATACCTGCAAGGTTACTCTGTTGACTACCTCGGAGGTAGATCCTTTGCGAAAGCGAACTGGGCAGGTTCGCGCCAGGAGAAGCGCAGCAATGAAGCTATAGGCATGCAACAGCTTGATGCTTGTGCTTTATCCCACCACCATGCGATACGCAATACGCACGCCATACGCCGTACGGCCAGCCATGTGCATGACTGTAACCGACCAATACGTATTGGATGGCAGGAGACATAAGGAACATCAAGCTATCGCAAGCTGCTAGCTTCATTATCGCGTGTACGCTCGCTTGCTCGGCGGCAGCGGTACGCTTCTGTTGTTGCAGTCCTGCACATTTAGCCCTCGGGAAGGGTCCACTCTCAGGTATCAAATATAGTCATCGAACTTTGGAGGTCCAAGAGGCTCACTCCACCTCACGGACCCCACCCTTTTCTTTTCAATTTTTTTTATTTGAATCTGTGCAATTGAAACGGGTACCATCACTCAACCCAAATACAGCTAAAGTAATGTAAGCATATCGAATTACATTTAGTTCCGTTTAGCAAACACTCTATAAAAACCCTAAAGCTACGAATAATCCCTGGAAATGTCCCTCTTCTTTTCCCTTAGCGTGACTATTTCGTTAAGATTCAGAGTTTCCAGACATGAGTGGAGGTGGAGGCGGCGGCAGCTATCTATTGGGAACGTCTCCGATTGTGGCGGCACCGTCACGCAGCGAATCGCGACCGGTCGTTGTTCAGGCGGAGCATAGCGCTGTCACAACACCTTCGTTGGCATCGTCACAGCACACGTCTTCGCATACATCTTCAGCAGCACACAGTCAGGCGCAGTCACAGTCAACCAGTAGTGGTAGAATTTCAAAAATGTGAGTCACAGATGATTTACCTATGATATTTCATTCAGAGGGCACTGATAGAAGGTCAGCCTCCAAGAATACCCATCCTTGAAGGCAGGAGCTCCTTGGCTAGGGTGGGGGGTTACTGCCGACGTTATTGGTGGACGGGCTGCGAGGGAACGTTCGGCCACATCCCATTCAGCCCTCCGCCAAAGAAGTTGGCGCAACTATCCGCCCCAAGCATCGTGCCCAATGCCTCTAATCGATTTACGAATTTAGCTCAACGTCGATGTCCACCGCCTCAAGTCGAAACACAGGTCTGTCGGCGAAGTCTGTTCCGACGGTGTCACCGATCAGGTTTCCTGTGGACTTTGATCCAAGTCGCCGTTGGACCTTCATAGGAACCGGGAAGGTACCGTATTCCATTTTCTACAAGCATTCTCGAAGATAGGGACGCAGACTCGTCTAGACTTTGCTCCTCTGTATTTCGTAAGAATAAAGTATTCGAACGTAACTGATTCCATTTAGACACCACGAGGCGCTCCTCGGGGACTTGTTGTTCCGTTCATGCACACAGCAAGACAGGTGAGTCCTCCCTTGTATTGCACGATATCGATACAAAAACCAACAACCAAAGCTTAGGTACGCTACGTGCACACCACCGAAATGAAACGTCTGATCGCCGAACTGGATAGCCGACTGCAAGACTGTCGTATGTTGGCTTCACCACGATCGTCGTCCACTATGAGCTCATACGGATCATCAAAACGGCTAGGTCCATACCAGAACCAATAGCGGTCATGCCTGTTAGCGATCATCTACGAGCCTTCTGTGAAGCAGGCCCACATGAAGCAATAGGCAACTACCAGCTCGGTGTCACCACAGGGTAGCGCTTGTATCCGTCGCAAATCGCGCAGATTAGCCGCTCGCCGCGTACGCGAAACCGCTCGACAATTTGCGACCTCGAAACTCCCTCGCAATTTTGTCACGCTGGGTCGCACGCAGCAAGCAGCTGATCCGTGCGACATACAGTGGGAACGAAAGCCGCGCACCCACCTCTACCCATTTCGAAAGAGTGGCACGTTTAGATAATGCTACTGGGACCTAATTACATTACTGCCTTAATATGAGGTATATGTTTGGATGTAAAGCGATACTTCCGAGTTGCAGCAGGCGTTGCAAGCACGATGACGTAAAAAGCATTCGCACCGGGACCCAAACCATTCAACGTGGCAGTGCTGCGGCGCGTCAACTATCCCGATTCTCTCCCCGTCTGCGTCTCTCGAATAGACCAACTCTCCTTTGTGGTTGTCTAATCAGTTAGCTAGGAAATCCTGCCAACGCGCGCGATGCCGAGACTCGGAAGTAATGCTCCACACCCATACTTTTTTCACAAGGTTAATTACTATTGTTGTAAACGTAAAGCAAACTCTATTGTATACATAATTTAAAATCTCAATAAGTATTGAATAAACTGGAAT